CGATTATTTTTTTATTCCTTCTTTTTTTAAGGGTTTTTTTTTTTTTTTTTTTTTTTTTTTTGCCTAAAACGACGAATTATTACTTTATATAGACGGAGAGGTACAGCGCAAAAACAATTGGTCTATATAATGGACAACTGCTCAAAGAGTACAACTGGGGCGAGGTCCCACTAGCAAAGAGGATAGGATAAATGCCCTGAATGTGGACGTGTTTTAAGAAGAGATGCAGAAAAGCAGTTCAATGTCGATTTTGTGCACCTTTCCACAGAAGAGTCCAGATTCAGGCTTTCAATCCAATCCTCTTTGCAAGGGGGACCTTGCCCCAGCTCAAAAAGTACAACTGCGCAAAAAGTACAGCGCAAAAAAAAAAAAAACAAAAAAAAAAAAAAAAGAAGTACAGCACATGAGAGCAGGAGAGGTAAGCCTCGGGAATCAATCTGGGGCTATAGGTCCCACTTATACGAATTAAGGGATGTCGACCGTAGATAGCAGAGATCAACGGCTCGAATCTCTTAATCCGTGCAAGTGGGACCTTGCCCCTGGGGCCGAGCCACTCCCCTGGGGCGGGGTCCCACTGCCAAAGAGGATCTGATTTGAAACCTCAATCGGGACGTCTCTGTGGGGAGGTGCAGAAAATCGCGATTCATCTGCTTTTCTGCATCTGTCCCGAAAATCCATCCAGATTCAGGCGCGTTATCCAATCCTCCGTGCTAGTGGGACGCTGCCTCTGTTCAAGACCAGGTTACCATCCCAAATTCCCTTTTTTTTTCTTTTTCCCTTTTTTTTTTTTTTTTTTTTTTTTTCAGTTATGGGGCCTCGCTCAACTACTCTGGGCTTAAGGGCGATCGCCTTGAGCGAGGTCCCACTAGCAAAGGGGATTGGATAAATATCCTGAATCTGGACGTGTTTTAAGCGGACATGCAGAAAAGCAGTTCAATCTCGACATTCTGCACCTACCCCCAAACACGTCCAGATTCAGGTCTTCAATCATATCCTCTTTGCTAGTGGGACCTCGCCTTTGAGGTAAATTCAATATTGTGTCTACTAATCTGACATCGGGTGGCCTTTTCAGCCCAGGGTGGGCAAGGCACGCAAGTGGTATTCAGGTCTTGGGTTCAATCCCCATGGCCTCATGTACCTTCCTGTCCATGCTTGGCGCCCGCCACCTAGAGATAGCCCGTTGGTCCCCCCAGTTGGCATAAAAAAAAAGGCAGTCTCTGCTGATGTTCATAGGGGGAGGGGTAATCTGGGAGGGGTCACAGCGACTACCGTAGCCACTCAGATGATGCTCGGTGCCTCTCCTACCGGCTGTCTCCTGCCCGGTGTTCCCCATCGGGGGTTCCCTGAAGGCAATCAAGGCCACTACTCTGGGCTTAAAGAATTAGCCTTTAAAAAAAAAAAAAAAAAAAAAAAGTGCAAAACGAGAGTGAATCTTCTCCTAGAACATGGAAAGATACACCACCATGATTTTTGTCTTTTGTGCATTTCGAGAGTAGTGCAGCGGGGCCCATACTCTTTGGACTGAAAAAAAAAAAAAAAAAAACTTTGGACTGACTGGCCCATGAAATAATTCAGAATTATTTTACTCTGTTCATCTGATTGCAACTGGATTCGAACTTGGGTCTGCATTTCAACAGTGCCGGGGGTGTAGCAACTGACCTACCGTCTTCATCCGAATAGAACGCCCGGTCATTATAGCTGCATTTAGCCCACCTTTCAGTCCAGATGCAGCGATGATGACCGGGCGTTCTATTGGGGTAAAGACGGTAGGCTCGTTGGTTGAATTCCAATTTTGCCATCCTGCTCCAATCATATCCTCCTCCACCCACCGCCCGCTCCAATCTGTTTTTTTTTTCCGCGGTGGGTGGAGGACAAAATTGCCATCCTCCTCCACCCACCGCGGAAAAAAAAACCAGATTCCTATTTCGCTACTTAAGACC